CTTCTAGTCGAGCACACTCTCTACGACCCTATGAACACAAGGCCTGTAACCTTTCTATAACCATCAACATTTATCAAAGTTCATAGAGTTTCCGGAGGCATGTTGTTTAGGAAGTGGATGCGACTCCTGCTTCCAAACCTGTCTTAAACTGGGAGCTCCGCCAAACGCTGTCCACTATCAATAACCGTTATGGCATTTGACACCCCAGTGGCACAGAGTTCAGCATCACAGCAACCCCAGATTCCCTCAGTACAGCATATTGACAGAAGGGTGCTGTACCACTTAGAAGAATGTTCCTCCAAAATATAATAACAACCAACTATAAATACAGAGGCTCTCCTTGAGGTCTTATTGACTCTAAACAAGAGGCTTAAATTAAAAAAAAAACCCAACCAATATAGTTTGTTGTTGTTGTTGTTATGTGCCATTGAGTCTCCTGCGATGCCTAGTGACCCTATGTACAGCAGCTCTGAACCCTGCCCTGTCCTGAGCCAGTCTCACTAATTCCAACACACCAACTTCCATCGCCCAGATACTGTACTGGTCAGTCTCATCTGGAGACTCAGTGATAAGGAATTGCACTGCCAACACAAAGGCAGGTGATTCGAATCCTCAGGCAGCCTCATTGGAGAAAGGTGGTCAATCTCCTTTGCGATTCACAGCCTCCGAAAGCTCACTGGAGAATCAACTATGAGTCAGCTTCAACTCAACAGGACATAATGATATATATTGATCTGGTATATTTTCAAACAGCATATCTAATTATTTTTAAAAATGCTGTTCTCATAGACTCTTATTTTCAGAGCTGTCTTTTGTATATAAACATCATGACTAGTTGGTTACAAATAGTTTACTATAACAGTTTAAAATCATTTTATATAAAATCCTCTCCTCTTAAAATCTGACACTATTCCAAAATAGTGTAGTTAACCTAGAAAGTGGATATTTATCCTGTCAACACTGGAACTCATAGGATTTTACTTTCTTATTGTGTGTTGTTATCAAGGTCTCCAGGATTACAGAAGGCACTGGGAAACAAGGTGCTCCCAGTCAGGCAGAGAACTGAAGACAGTAACAGAAGGAAGGTGTCATAGTTGTATTAAAGAAGCTGCTGATTATGATCTTGAGAAATCCAAATTTTCCAACAATAAGAAAATTCTTCATGTACACAGTAACCCAATAGAATTTTATACAAGCATTAAAATTAGAAATAGAAATTTAGTTATTTAGCCAGGTCAGGAGTTCTACAGGACACATCACTTTCCCTTTGGAGACAGTACAAGTAAACTTAAGAGACACTGGACAGAGGGGGAAAAAAATCTCTCTGACAAGCTGTCAAGTCATGGGTCAGACAATGGGACATTAATTCTGAAGGCATTTGGTAGAAGTGAAGTAGTATCCTGCTGGAGGGTGGAGCTGGGAAATAACTGGGTCAAGGCACTGGGCTAAGGGCAGGGACTACACTGTAACTAATGATCAACTCCAAAATGAGGGATTT